GTACGAATTCGTACAAGTGATTAAAAAGTGGCTAATTCGTACTAATTCATACGACCTCACTCGTACGAATTTAAACGATTTGTCTAAACCCACATGATGGGGCGGGGTCAGGGGTAGGTCATTCGTACAAATTCATACGAATTGGCCAGTTCGTAAAATATGTAATTCGTATGAGTGAGGTCGTACGAATTGTTCTGAATTAGCCACCTCATAAAATTTGTACGAATTCCTGTGAGATCGGGTGGTTCATTAAACACTCAAGATCTTTTTCTTCACAAAAACAGTACTTTTATGGCATAGTGGGGCGCAAACCCAAATATGAATCTGTGTTTTGATGTTTTGAATGAATTGTTCATTTAATGATTCACTGACTTCATTGTCACTATCGGATGTATAACCACTAGAAAAATCGTAACACTAATTGTAGCATATACTACTTTCTATCCTGCTAAACTTTCCGCAATATCTCTTTTTGTCTTTCCCTGAAAAAAAGAAATATCAAATTTGTTTTAATAACATCAGGGTTCGAAATGATTAATTTTGGAGTGGACTATTCCTTTAATATCTCTCCCATTCGTTTTCTGCTGGTTTGGCCAATAAATGTTTTATGAACATATGCAAGTACTTTTTTCTTTCAGTAATATAATTAAGGAAAAGTGCAGCAAAAAAAATTAAGAAATAACATATATTTCAGAATTGAAACAAATGAGTAATTGTCTTAAAAATAATGCCACAATGCAATAACATATTAACGGTCATAAAAGTAGACCTAAAATGTGTCATGTTTTACTATCTTGTGTATAAAACCCCTCAATATCTTGTTTGTTTTGTCAGAGCTGTCATGTACAGTATGTGATGCTAAAAGGCTCATGGCTAAACTTTCATCTTTTCCTCTTCTTAATGATGCCATTGATATTTCAGAAGCAGAAAGTTTGCGATGCCAAAAGCAAAGGTATTTCCTGGAAGATAACCAGACTTCTTAGAAATGTAGTTTTGGATTCACATAATCTTCACAGAGGATGACATTCTTTAAGCAATGCTTCTCCAGAGATATAATTTTCACTTTCAAGGCTTGAAATCGTTCTTAATCTTTTTTTTTTTAACAAGTTCTTCAGAAACGTATAAAGTCATCTCAAAGACGAATGGAATGGGAGAGCTTCTTATTAGCATGAACGTCAGTGACAGCAGTGTTTTGGTTACTAATAAACATAAGAATCAGTCTCATTCCTGATATTTATGGAGATGATTGTAGATGATAACTGTGTTTAAATAAACTCAAAGTGACCGGCATGCTTTTCATACCTACTGCATTAGACAGTGAACCATAATGAACCATCATTTTTTGTGACAATTCAGAGACCTACAAGGAATTTTGCAAGCTGGAAGTGCAAATCCTTCTTTTGCTAGCAGCGTTTTCAGCAGATCAACTGGGCACACCTCAGATTACATCATTAATATACATGAGCCAAGCTGATAAGTGTTATTATGCTCACATTTTCGATTATTTCTGGTTTGAAGCAAAGATGAATTCGAGTGGTTTGCCTGGCAGCTAAATAGATGCATTCAGATTAAGATAATTATTCTACTATGCCTGGTCATTTTTGTTTTGTTTGTTATGTTTCTGGAGCTGGATTGTAAAAGTTTCAACCGCTGCTTGTCGTCGACTAACCTCGGGCAGTCAATCAAACCGTGGAGGAACATTGAGGATTCCTGGAGGAACAATGCACCTCAGCGTTCGAGGAGAGCGTGGTCATTCTATAGATAAGAGATTGAACATTTTTACCTCAGCGAGATAAAGGCCTTCGCTGCTTCAGGCTTTCTGGTTATGGTCGGAAAGAAAATGACAGAAGGGTAACATATATTTGCTTCAGGCCTGACTGAAAGTAATTTATGCAGTTGCATGCAGATGTTTTTGCGTTATTTCTTTTTCTGCCCGTGTGCCTCGGGAGAAACATTCAAAGCACTTTTTATAGCAAAGGACATATGCAATAAAATGGGAAAGGCTGAGGTCGTTGTGAAGAAACCACTTTATTAAAGTAATACAGAAAGAAATGAAATGTATATATAATAAATAAACTGAATTAATATGAGAATATGTTGAAACAAACATTGCTCTCTTGTTTGACTAGATTCAATACTATCGTATATGAATTCATACTTAGTTTTTTTTGTATGAATGCAACTATAAATGTTTCAAACAGTAGTATTATGGGTAACTTTGTTTGACAGTGTCATTGTTAAATGTTCATGTGGCTACTATAGTAATAAAAATGTACTTAATAACATGGAACTAAACCAAACCCTAATCCTAACCCTAGAAAAGTACTGTACATGTAGTTAATCAATATTATTTGGTACTGAAATTTAAGGTTTTTGATGAAAACATTCCAGGATTTTTCTCCATATAATGGACTTCAATGGGAACCAAACGGTTCAAGGTCAAAAAGACAGTTTCAGTGCAAACTGTTCAAAGGGCTTTAAACGATTCCAGATGATGGATAAGGGTCTTATCAAGGGAAGCGATCGCTCATTTAATAAAAAAATAACAAAGTTTACGTTTTATAAGCTCGAGTGCTCACCTTGCTCTGTTCTGCGATGCACGTTTGTGACTCTCCTGTTTGAACTCGAATCTTTTACCGAGTCATTTGGTTCATTCAATCAACGAAACGAACGAATTGACTATTCATCATCTGGAATCGTTTAAAGCCCTTTGAACAGTTTGCACTGAAACTGTCTTTAGGACCTTGAACCGTTTGGACCCCATTGAAGTCCATTATATGGAGAAAAATGCTGGAATGTTTTCAACAAAAACCTTAATTTCTTTTCGACTGAAGAAAGAAAGACATGGACATCTTGGATGACACGTGCATGAGTAAATTATATCAGCAAAAGTTCTTTCATAAGTGAACTACTCCTTTAACTCAACGAGTGGCATCCAGATGTCTTGCATTTTTTAATAAAAAAAATATTTGGCTGTCATATAATGTGCCAAGAAAAATCAATTCTGAGTGACATCTAGTTATGATTTCAGAAATAAATGTTGGCAGTCAATTTTTTTTTTTTTTTAAATATATCACTACTTGTATCATTTGTCACACTGGAATTATGAAGTTATCCAAAGGGCTCTGTGCTGATGTTGGCATTAAATATAGTGGGCCAGTTATTCATACAGAACAATCCTGCATAGCAAGTGTATGTTAGTATGCCATTCTGATTTGTTTCATTTTGAACTTTAGTTGTCCGTGTGGATTGGAGGCGACCTCTACGCGCGCGAGTTGCAGTCACTCATCCATCATGGCTCTGCTAATCCATTAGTTCAGCCACTTAATCGGCAGATATTGAGCCACTACAGCTGCTAATTACCACAGACAATTGTAACAGCCCAATGCTCTCTACCTGATAAATACAAAGCACTTTCAATATCTGAGAGGTTGTCTTGCATTTCAATTAGATAATTAAATGTTCCTGTATCCTGAACGGATATGGCTCAAGTGCACTCAGAGTTTGTAATTGCTGCTAACCCATCCTAGCTTGTGCAAAAGTTAGTTTTGAGGGTAACTGAAGGTCATCATGTCCAGGCACAGATCTCAAGAGATGGAGTCATGTTGCTGTCGTTATTGTTTTTTTGCAGAGAGGTTGTTTGAATGATGAATATAACCACGATTGTAGGAGACAACAGATTGCTCAATTAGCAAATAGAGAATACAGTGTTTCCATTAAAAGTGTTATGCAATCTGGAAATGCATACCTGTTTGAATTTTTTGTGTTTTATTATTTTTTATATTAAATCATATAAAAATTATCACACTTTAATCACCCTATTTGGCCATGAGGGATCGACGTTTTGGACAGATTTACTGTTTTATACACTCACATACAGTGTGGAATGTCATTGTTTTGCTTTGTGTCTCATATTTCTTGAGGTTCCATTGTCATATTACGGTGCTATTGCTTTCAATAGTAGTAGATACTGCTTTCGATTCATTACATGTTTATGTTTAGCATGGTTTGAATTCATTCATTTATTTTTTTAGGGATGCAGAATACTTTTGTTATGGCCAATAACTGATAAGTGCATGGCCATTATTACAATTCTATACAATTTTGTCCAAATAAATTTCTTTTTTTTATTTTGGGCACACAGCATTATATATGTGTAGTATAAAAATGCATATTCATTTCGAGATTTTGCTAAAGTTTATATTGAACAATGTTGTTTAAATATAATGAAAAAAAAAACGTTTTTATAAGGGCTGTCAAACGATTAATCACGATTAATCACAATTAATCGCATCCAAAATAAAAGTTTCTGTTTACAAAATATATGTGGGTGCACTGTGGATAATTATTTTATATATATATATATATATATATATTAATACACACATGCATGTATATATTTAAGAAAGAATCTTAAAAAATATTTTCATGTATATACTGTATATAGATTTATATATAATTTATATTATATATAAATATAAATATTTTATATATAATAATATTTTTTTCTTAAATATACATGCATGTGTTTGTGTATATAAATATATATATATATACAAAATAATTATACACAGTGCAGCCACATATATTATGTAAATACAAACTTTTATTTTGGATGCGATTATTCGTTTGACAGCCCTAGTTTTTATAGACTATTTTAAAGTTTCAGTAACGGTGATCAAAATGTGAAAATGAATATGCACAATTAAATATCCAGTATTGATTAATAATAATAATAATAATAATAAATAAAAAAATCTCCAATTTCAGCCCAAAACTGATACGGTACCATTATATAATGCATTCCTATTTATTTTGGCTCTGTTGCCAAGCAACAAGGCAAGTAGGAAAACATTTGTTTTGGTCTATTTGATTAAATCTGGTTGGTTGTTTTTTAGTTGGTGTTATTAACAGCCCAACTGAAATGTGTTTAAAATCAATCAAAATAAATACTGAAATCCTAAATTCTGCAGTTTAAACATATCTTGTATGTGTCCCAGCTGTTGCAGGGCAGGTCAATCCCAAAGCTGGGCACCCTGGACCGAATCGAGACAGGAAGTGGAGACGGATACAGTGGAGACTGTGATGACGAGGACGGATGCTGGGGATCAGGGAACGGAGCGGCAGAGAGGAGAAGAATAGTCACTATATGTAAGTAATTATCTCCAATAGATAGAAAGTGAAGAGAAAGTACGAGAGAGACAGACGGACTCACCCAAAAACACTCTAAACGTCCTGTGCCATAAATTTACAGTTATATAGGTGAGAATGAATGCTTGTGAGGCTTGTTGGACTAGTGTAGAAGCACCAACGAAGATGAATGAATTCTCTTATTCATTTTAAACCTGCAAATCAAATGCTAGTCCTTTTGTTCCTTTGTACGTCATTTTGCAAGTCAGAGATAACAAGTAGAAAATACCACATCTGACATCTGAATGGAAGGGGGAATTAGATCAGACTTCCAGTGACGCTTGATATCAGAGTGTAATTAAGTGGCAAAATTAAGGTCAAGCATAGAGAAACATTTTTCCAGACATTTCCTCTTCCTCCAAATGAATTATGCAATCAAGAATAACGTGGTTGTAAAAAAGTGGAACAAATCAAAGTGGCCATCTGGTAATTACTTCATCTTCCGGAGGGGATTGGATCTCTGACCCGTGGCCCGCTAAATCAACCTCAAGAGCTGCGCGCTTCTCTCTGCAAACCTCCTCTATCTCCCGTACGCTCGTCTGATTAATCGGCGCGCACTTTTTCTCCGGATAGGGACGTTCTGGGTCATCTAAACGTGCCGTTGCATCACAGCGGTATTTCCTTTTCCTCTGTCAATCTGCCGTACTGTGTCAGCGCCGCCTCATGCCCCTCTCATAATTCATGGGACGCTGTGACGATGCTCTCATTTATCACAGTCTCTCCCCTCTCATCCCGCTCCGTCCAAAACCATGTCACGCCTCAGCCGTCGGCGTGACGCTCTTTACGACTGCAGACGGGGGTTCTGTTTGCATCGAGATAAAACACCAACCGTTAATGTGAATGAGTTAGTGAGGGGAGACCTCGGTGACGTCACATGTGGGGTTTTGTGTGTCTGATACGCTTTATCACTGCAATGCTCAAAATAATCCATTAATTTGAGTAGGGAAAACTTAAATAACCCTCTGGGGACAGATTGGGCCGTACCACCTAAAACGACATACTTTTACAAATGTGTACTTATCTTAAAAACTATTCATGATAGAGAGGTGCGGCCTTTTTTGCCGTCTTCCTCAGATTCCGCTGAACCGGATACCCGGAAATCGATGAAATCAATGAAATCGATGTTGTTTGGCAGATTCACGAGCAACAACCAATGGAAAAATTGCCGATGGAGAAATATTTTTCTTACTCAATCAGGGGAAGGTTACGATGACGTATTCAGTTCTTAACCGTCTTTTGATACTTGAACCATCCGGTTCCCATTGAAGTCCATTATATGGAGAAAATCCTGGAATGTTTTCATCAAAAACCTTAATTTCTTTTCGACTGAGGAAAGAAAGACATGGACATCTTGGATGACATGGGGGTGAGTAAATTATCAGCAAAAGTTTTTTTCAAAAGTGAACTAATCCTTTAAATATTACATTTCTCAACTTAAATATTTTGATGTAACTGATTACCTCAAAATTGTTTGAGTTTTGCCAACTTATTCAGGTTTACAGCGTACGATACAGATACAGGTTTCAAAGCAGCTTTTGAGTGATGAACAGAAAAAATAATAATCAATGATGCAAACTTAATTAAATATGGAACTAATTAAAATTCTACTGTAAATCAGCTCTACAAGAAGACATAAGTGTCATTATTCAACTCAAGTCAGCTCAATGTTGATTCAGTTCAGTTCAATAACAGAGTCGATGTTGTGTCAATTTAAGTGAGTTTTGCACGAAATGAGAAAAAAAAAAGTTCCAGTCTGTTTCCCAACCCAGAAATGAGTCAAACAAACACAGTGTGATGCACATTTTATTTTAAGTTCAGATCTAAAATGATTTTTGGTTCAGCAAGAGTTGCTGGAAAACTAAAAGAGTTTTCAGTCTCTTTCGATCTCTCAAACCTGCTGATATATGAGAAATAAATAAAAAAACACATCAGTCTTGCTGTTACTCACACTGTAAAAAATGATTTTTTGGTTAAGTAAATACTAGTGAAAAAACCCAATGTAATTTACTTGAAAAAGTTAGTTCAGGCAAGAATTTAAAAAACGAAGTAAATTCCATATCAGTACTTATTTCAAGCGAGTATAAATGAAAGTGTAATATCAACTCAATAAAATTAAGTAAAAATTACTCAACTTTTCTGATACTGGGGTTCCCATCATGCACTGGACCTTGAATAATTAATGAGGTTCATTTTTCACTGGTTTCCAGCTGTATTTACACTGTTTTATCATTGATTTTTGTTTTCAGTATTACTAAATTGCCATTTTGTGACATTTCGAGTACATTTTTTGCTTAAAACGACACATTCAAACACAAAAACGATCCATCAAATGTTACCACCATTGTGTATTGTCTACCAAGTATTGAGGTGTTTGCATTCACATAAGGCTTAAAGTCTGACATGATGTATATATAAATTACTTAGATGATCTAAGTAAAGAACATACTATTAATGACGAATACAATTTAAGATAATTGTTTTAGTGAAGTGTAATACAAAGGCGAAGGAAATCGGTATTAATCAACCTTTTACAAGCCGAGTTAAAATTACTTATTTTTTGTAAAGTTTACTTAATTCCACATTCCAAGTAAATTTATCTTAAAGATTTCTAATTAAAGCTACTGATAAATATGTTTAGGTTTTTACTTGGTAAATCTTTTACTAGCATTTTCTGAGTGAGATCGTTTAGCAAGATTTTTTCAAGTAAATCCTACTCCAAATTTTTTACAGTGCACCTGTCACTTGAAACCATTCGCTAGCGATACACTAAAACTTCTAGATATGAGTATTGAGCTCTTGCCTCACAATGAAACATATCTGTGAGTCTGAGAGCGATATCCAGCAGGTCACACAGAGGAGAAATAAATAAAGAAATACAATGGAGACAAAGACAAGCGCTGTAGTAAATAAAATATTAACTGACGCGTGATTCTGGTTCTCAGTGCGGCGAAGTCTTCGCACAAAAGGACGACCGTGTCAATGTCACCTGTGTGCGTTCCCTTGTTTGGCAGCGAATCCAGACTTGCTATGGGAAACAAAAGGCGTCAGCGGGACGTATCGGCAGGGAGTCGCATTGATCTCCAGTAAGGAGACACAATGAGAGGAAGTGCTGGCTGGTCCCTTCGGTGAGCACTTGTTAATTAATAGCCTGTCTCGGGACGGGATTACATGATATCGCCCGGTGGCTCTTCAACGCTTGAAGGTGATCTTCTGCACCTGATGAGCTGTAATGATCCTGTTGTATTTAAATGGATCCTTTAATGGACTGGGGCACTTCGGTGGCCAATTATTGCATTTGAAGCTCATGATACACTCCTCATCAGGCCAGTTACAGCGGCTGGAGAGGTGCTGTGTCACGGATTGAAGCCGGAAAACAACAGGCCGTGACATTGGGATGGGGAAGGAAGCAGTAATTGGGAGTAACTTTAATAGCTTGCTAAACAACAATACGCTACTATTATCAAGAACAGTACTGTTATGCTAGCTCTTCAAAATGAATTGCCATCTATTGCAGCAAATCTGAAGTAGTGAAGATGTATCTTTAACATGTTGTCTGGGTTTCTCGCTTCATTGCGAGTCAGAAATGGCTGAAAGTACTCAATTCTGAAAATGATTCAGTGGATGAGTTTTGTTAATTAGATTCAAATCTAATAACTAAGTTTTTTAATATTTTTGTGCAAAAATTATCCATCCATCTCTATTGCATTTTAAATAGTTAAAATCTATCTATCTATCTATCTATCCATCCATCCATCCATCCATCCATCCCTATTGCATTTAGTTAAAATCTATCCATCCACCCATCCATCCGTTTTAGTTAAAATCTATCTATCTATCCATCTATCCATCTATCCATCCATCCGTCCATCCATCTCTATTGCATTTTAGTTAAAATCCATCCATCCATCCATCCATCCATCCATCCATCCATCCATCCATCCATCCATCCATCCATCCATCCCTATTGCATTTTAAATAGTTAATATCTATCTATCTATCTATCTATCTATCTATCTATCTATCTATCTATCTATCTATCTATCTATCTATCTATCTATCTATCTATCTATCTATCTATCTATCTATCTATCATCCATTCCATTTTTGTTATTCTTCCCTGAATTCACATTTTAATTGCAAATTTCCATGTAATACATTCTCAATTCAATTCTAACCTGTTTGCTTGACGACATGTCCACATTTTCTAAAGAATTGAGTCATTAATTCGCTGAAGAGCCATAAATAGAACTGTTTCCAATATTTCTAATATTTTTCCTCTCCCTGGTTGTGTTCAAAGGTATAGCCTAATAGGCATTCTGCAAAAATATAAAATTCCAATGCATTATGCACTGTGACTGCATAGATGCCCTTTTGTTAATGATGCCCAAAATAAGATATGACCAAAAGCAGGGTTTTAAAAAGTTTGATCTGCCTGCTAATGAATCAAAAAGAGGCCAAGCGGTCCAGACACCATGCAGACCGTCTAAATGAGGCGCCATAGTGAAACCCTGCTGGCCGTGTGACATCAAGAAGCTCTGAATATCACCGCAGCCGTCGCTGGGCACAGCTGGTGGGCAGAGAGACTCTTAACCAATGCAGGAATTAAAATAACATTCACATCCAGGCGCCTGATAACGAGGGGGACGTACAGATGAAGATCCGCCATTGTGCTTGTTTAACTAATGCTCTGCTCTGAAGAGGCCTGCTGAAAATGACCCGCTGTGTCACAGGATGATGAAAATGAACGATAACGATCCTCGTCGGAGCGCCCTGATGTGCGGCGGTGAATCATAGTGGGGAAGAGCCTCGATGGACCAGCCTGTCATCAGCAAAATATTGCTTATATACTTCAAATCAAGCAGGATCTGGAGGTGGACAAATCCTTATGCATCACTGATGAGATGTTAGAGAATTGTTCAGTATTGTGACAAAATCGTTAAAAAAAAATCATTTGAACCTGG